ACGCCGAAGCCCAACGCGGCTGCCTCGGCAAGCAGCTGATGCCAGAGTGGGAGGTGCCATTGGGCGCCCCCGGCGGGCAAGCTACCTGCTGTTCTTCGGTGGCTGCCCAGGAGCCGCCCGCTGGCGGAGAAAGGGAGCTGCCCCTGCAGGGCCAAGGACTGAGTGTGACACTGCCAGCTGAAGGAGGCAGCCCGGGCACAGGCAGTGAGGCTTCGGCGGCGGTGCTCAACTGGCTGCGCGTGACTGAGATCCTTCCTTACAAATCAAGGGGGTAATGTTGGCATATGTAAATTTTTTATGGGGTAAAAGGTAAAAAAGTTCCCTGACCCCTGGCTTGATGGAATGGCTATCGTTGTGGCTTGAGGGAAAGGAAAATTCTGATGCGAGTTGGTATCCTTTTATAGATGCCTGAGACTGAGAGTTTTGGACTGCTCACAATTAAAAAGGATTCCATCTCTTCTTAACAGATTTTCTGAAGTGAGGAAAAAAGAAGAGGGAAATGAATAGATAATATGAGAGGGCTGTAATTAGAGATAACATCTAAATTACTACAAATGTTGGTGAGCAGGAAGCTTACTCTGTCAAGGTCGAAAGTATATTTGAACATTAACCTTAGAGCACTCTAAAACTTTATAAAATTCCTTGGTAGTTTGAGTCTGTGATGGCCTGCCACAGCTGACATCCCTGTATGAAACCGGGTAACTTTGCCAATCGTATCACAGTCCATCTGTATATCAAGGTAAATGTTAGTTCAGTGTTGGAATGATTCAGGGTAACTTCAGCTTGCCTATTTCTACAAGCCTTATTCACTTTCATTACTTCTATGCACAAATATTCAAAAATAACTCAAAAAGTATTTTAAACATTCAAGTCAATGAGTCCTCTGATGTTGTGGGTAACATTGTTGGGCCCATAACGGCACTGCCAGTGAAAAGGGGCAAGAACAATATAGAAGGGCATTGCTGGGAAAGGATGGCATAGACCATAACTAGGTATACTGTGCTTTTCCTGTTCCCAATATGCTAAAATGTGGGGCATTACGCAGCTAAATACAAGCCCAAATCTTAATATTTTAATGGAACAGCTGAAATTTCTGCCAAATAAGCCATGTGACTGAAATCAGCTTACAATTTATATGGTGATGTTTCTACAAATAACTACTGTATATACTCCCAACTCCGGGAGGCAGTGGAAGACAGGAGGGCCTATTGTGCTCTGGTCCATTGGGTCACAAAGAGCAACAAGAAAAAAATACTTAAGATTTTCCTCCATATAAATACAACAATTTTGTGCCTCTAATATTTCAATGGCTTCAAAATAATTTTGAGTATATATCATCTCTAGTAACTATTTGTAGCTACTGTGGAACATACGTACATAAAAGAGTGTTACAGTATTCCTACCTGTGGGCTCCTGGAGATAGTCAAGCTCTTGGTCTGATCACAAGGTTCTTATATTCTCAAGTGTCTGCTACAAAAAGATATTACTGACTCTATATTCATCTATTTTTTTAGACTTCATTTTGGTCAAATTAAATATTTAATTAATTGAAATCCTTAGCCTAATAGTTTGCACCTGGACTAGTGTTTAGACTCTTGTGCATGTTATTTGTAGTTTACTGTATTTTGTATTGACTTCAGACAAAAAAGAGTACAGATGGCTAAAAGTGTATTGATTGCTGAAACATCATATGCAAATACTGAGATATAGGTACAATGTAGTCAAACATAACAACCACCATACAAGGTCTAATTGAACATCCTGTGCTAAGGGAAGCCCACAAGCAGGTTGTGAACACAACAGCACCCTGTTGCTGGGGGATTCCTTTGCAATTACTACAAAGAGCATGGGTGAAGAAGCTCTCAGTCCAAGTGAGAGATTCTGTTTCAGCGAAGTTCTCAAGGGCCACATCCAGCATCAGCAGGGCCAAAGTGACAATGGCAAAAATACTGCATAGTTTAGCATAAAGGTCTTATTGCCTATAACAGCCTTTTAAAGGACAAAGAGCCCTCATAAAAAAAGCTGGGAAGCTACCAAACAATCCATGAAGAAGAATTATGGACAGGATTCACTCTGAGGTTTTCCTCCTTCTTGTGTAAACAAAGCCTATTTATAGGAGGATTCACGTCCTAACAGGAAACTCAATTATTAGCCAGCATACTCTGCCACATTCTTAGTTCCCAGAAATAAATCGTCTTGGTACACTGTCAAAGAATGTTTCGCTGTGTGATCCAAATAATGATGATGTGATTCTTTCGTCTCAATATCCATCAAAAGAGAAACAGTGTGATCTCATAACACCTGTGATTTATTAACTTCATTAAAACATGCTTAGGTTACTATTCACAATAGTCAATCTATGTATACTTCCATAAAACATACACACAAAACTTCTATAGCTGTAGTTTTTAAAATCCTAGCCATTTTAGTTTGTGCTAGTGTATCAACAAGGAACATGAAATGAAAAAACAAACAAAAAACAAACAAAAAACAGCAAATATGTTGTGGCACCTTAAAAACTGTTATATTTCAACGTGAGCTCTTGTGAAAAATGCCCTCATGTTCAGACATAAGAATGAGAATACAGAGATTACATGGCAAAATGTATGACTGTTTAGCCAAGCAATCTCTCTGATGAAGTGGACATGTTTCATGAAAGCTCACATTAAAATATAGTAGTCTTCAAGGTGCCACAGCAACTTTGTTGTCTTTTTTGCTTTTGTTTTGTTTTCCTTAGTGACGCACACAAACACAGTCTACTAAATGCTTCAAAAGAAAACGAGGCATGTACAGAATCAGCCTAAAACAGATGAACTGTAACCCTTGCAAAAACTAACTGAAGAAGCAGACGTTATGGTTATCGCTGCACATCCTGACCCAAACTGCCCTGCCCTTCTCTCTCTTTCTGAGCCACCCTCCTGTGCAAGGGCCTCAGCTGCTTGCCCCCAAAAGGAGGCAGACCCAGACGCAGATTCCAGGAGTCGTCCTATATCAGGCAAGCGTTCCCTCTCATACGTTCAAGCCCAGTCCTCTTGCACATATGGACACCCCGGGGGGGGGACAGCGCACCGCCTGTTCACCCCTTTCTCATTGCACTGCGGATGCTTCGAGGTTGTGTCCGCACGACTCATGTTTCTCTCCACGCAGAAACCGCCAAAAACTCCAAGATCCTCCCCGTAAGACTGAGACGCTTCTGCGATTGCGCTGTTTTCATATTTATGACCGAGACCACGGTGCGCGCGTACGTACGTTCGCGCTCCTTCGATATCCACACCACCCTATTTACCCGCCGCGGCGAGAGGAGACAAGCCTTCTTTCGGCCTTCGTCCCTCCTTCCCGCCTCTAAGCGCGCGCCCATCCAGCCCCGCCCTCTCTCCCTGTCGTCTCAGTGCCAGATGTGCTTCGGCGGCGCGCGCGCAAGCTGATGGCGTACGTGCGGACGCATGCGCGGTCTGGTGTGTGAGCAAAGCGGGGAGTCGGGTTCAAAGGAGGAAATATGGCGGAAAACAAAGGAGGAGGAGGCGGCGGCAGCGGTGGCGGGGAGGGGGCCGGGGAAGTCGGGCCGGCCGGGGGTGGTGACAGCTTGTACAAAAGTTTACAAAATATAATTTCTCATCAATAGCATTCCTTTCACTGTTTTTTCTAATATTTATTTGTTGCCAATAGCAGTTATTTCACTTCGGAAATTCTGGAAATTAAAAGAGCGATGATGTTGCTATGCCTCACTCTTTGCTTTGGGGTTAAGCAATATACTGCCCCCAACCCTATCTGGTCTACTCATGTTTCCTCACTCCAATGTAAGCAGTCCTGATTCTGTGGCTACTCACACAGCAAACACATGATTCTGGGACTGAAAAAAGAGCCTGCAGAGCCGGGAGGCCGAGCCGAAGCTGCTGCCGTGCCTTCACTCTTTTTGCCGCCGCTGCTTGCCGGAACCCGAGCGCCAGCTCAATGTGCCCGTGGCTGGCGGCGCCAACGGGGACATTCAGCAGGGTGAGTGGAGGGAGAGGCCGCAGGCGTGGGCAGTGGGCGTTGAGGAGGTGGTGGTCTGGCTGGGGGACGCTGCCTGTGGTCGGGGTGAATGTAGCCGAAAGGGTGCTGCTGAGCAAAGGGAAGAAGTGGAGATGCACGGGCTGTTAGGATACTCCTGGAACAGATCTGGAGTAGGGCAGTGGAGATCACTAGCTCAGCTTGAGAGTGTTGCAGTGGCTGGATGGCTCTGTTGATGGCTGCTCTCGAGGGAAGAGGAAATGCAGGTGTGGTGCCTTAGGGATGTTGTGTGTGAATGAGGTGTTGCATCTTGCCATACGTGGTCTTTTGTAAAATCTCCCCTTGGAGCATCAATCAGAGAATGGTAAATGTATCTGGGTGGTTAGTTGTGGAGAAAGTGTATACATATCTGCCATGAATGTTTTCTTTTAGCATAGGTGTTCAGACCTCTGAGATGTGTTTTCAATGGAAAGCCAATTAGCAGTCCAAATTTAGACAGTTTTACTCATCAGAGAATGGACAAGGAATTTCCAAGATAACTTTTTTTTTTTTAGTGTAAAATCTCCTTCAGAATAAAAGATTTAATCTTCTAGCCAGCGTGCTTTCCTGTCAGGCTTACTTTTACAGTATTTCTGTTCCTTTTCCCCACTTCATCGAACTTTGAACTCCAACATTTGCAGCATAGTGCACGTAAACTGAAATCATTCTGACAATGGGAATTTGGTTGGGGTACCAGAGTTCTGCATAACCAGTAGTCATTAATTGCAACATATGATGCTGGATTATTACCTCCCCATGCTCAGTGTTATTTAGTTCAACTGTATAGTTTAAGGGGAGAGTCATCTTGTTGAACAGTTAGGAATCAGTTTTGCTTTATTTATTTATATATTTGTATGCCATTTTTTCCACCCATTTGCCCAAGGAAGTGCATAACTCTTCTTTTCTAGTATAGCTTTATGTCTGGTATGTTGCATGACACCCAGAAATCTAGTAATGGGTCTCAATCTGTCTTTCACCTCTCCTATTGTAAATCTATTTCTAAACCAAGAGTTCTGTCCACACTAGCCCTATTCCCTCTTACTGGTGTTAACTGACAGGTTGGAACTAGTTTCCCTCTACTTTGCAGTTTTCAGTAGAATCCCTTGCCTTCTTACGTTATAAGTTTGTTCTTCAATCAGTCTCTCCCCTGAACCGCTCCTGTCATGCTTCAATACATTACTCACTTTGGTGGCTTGATGTTTTTCAGGAAAAAATTGTGCTGCTGGGGGATTTGCCAGTACTAGACTCATCCTTTTAAGGGGCCAATAAGAAATCAAGACTGATGGTCAGTCTGGTCTTTTAAAAAGTTGTTAGAAGTAATAATGCTAATCAGAGAGAGTAGTATTGGACGATTTTTTTTCCTGTATAGTGAAGCTCTTGAAATGTGATGATATTTGACAAACTGCTAAATTTCTTTACTATTTTTAATGAGTTAATAGTGGGACAATTCACTTTTACCTTATGCAGGTTTTTTTTAAAATAATGCTAGCTGTAGTTCTGTTGCTCTCTGCAGTACTGCTCACTTTTGTCCTCACTACGCCTGTTATTTTTAATACATATATGGTTTCTATGTTCTGTGCCATTAAGTCAAAGTCAGCTTATAGCAACCGTAATAGGGCTTTCGGTGTAAGATATTTAAGGAGTGGTTTTTGCCAGTTCCACTCCCCCACTGAATTTCCATGGCCAAGTGGGGATTCAAACCCTCTTCTCTAGAGTCCTAGTCCATCACTCTATGTATTACACCATACTTGGAATCACATACAGTGGACCCTCTACTTACAGAATTAATCCATATTGGAACGGTAGCTGCAAGTTGAAAAGTCTGTAGGTCGAATCTCCATTGACCTACAATGCATTTAAAACCGATTAATCCCATAACTGGCAGTTTTTATTCTATTTTTGTTCCATTTTGGTTTTTTTCTGGTCTGTAAGTCGATTCTCCGGCTGCACGTCGAATCTAAATTTTGTGGCCAGAGAAGTCTGTAACTCGAAAAGTCTGTAAGTCGAGCCGTCTGTAAGTCGAGGGTCCACTGTATATGGTAGGGCAACCAAATACACGGAAGTTTTGGAATAAAAATGGACAGATTATAAGTACTTCAAGATGGAAAATATGGGGGAAACTGAAATGTAGTTGAGCGGGCTCAACTGTGGTTTTTTGTTTGTGTATTTTTCTAGAGTCAGAGGCTCTGAAGTACATAATATATGAGTACAGTGCAGAATTAACGTTTTCTTTTACATTTTTAGAAGTAGATATTGAGTGGATATTGAAGGTCATTTGTCTTGCATTTTCTTTCATAAAGTGGATAGCCTCTTCAAATATGAATTATTTTCTTCTAGAAAACTTTCATTTGGGAAAATATTTCTAATATAAATTTTTGGTGAAAGACAGTGAAGATATGTCCTTTTTTGGTAAGATATATTGCCCTTTTACAGGTACTATTTCTACAATTGCTGAGGCTTTTCTAACCATCTTTGTTGCATTTCAGCACTTTGTTGCAGTGCTGTTTTACTAAAAGTGATTTGTATGAAGTATCATCATATCCAGTATTTCTGAAGTTTGATTATTATATTTACCTTTCACTCTGCCTCCAGTGAACTCAAAATGGTGTAGTTGGTTGTTCTGTTCCCCACTTTATCTTCACAACAGCTTTGTGAGGTACATCAGATTAAGAGAGAGTTATTGGTCCAAGGTCACTCAATGACCTTGGCTGACTGAGGATTTGAACTTGGGTTTTCTAAATCCTGGCACGACATGGGTATAGTATTTAGCCGGTTATATATTATATAGAAAGAATTACAATACACAAAAGTGGTAACATCAGTAGTGTCTTTGAAGCAACTTAAATACTCTTATGTATAATCTTATACCAGTCATCTAAGGGGGATCAGTATTACAGTATCTTCATGATGTAGGTAAGGTAAGAAGTTAAGAAAATTGCTGTTTGAAATTGTCTAGTAAGTTCATGCCTGAAGTGATTGTCACATTGGAGATTTTCTCTGTTATATTGCAGTCTCTCAGCCACTGTGCTATACCACCTAATAAATATATTTACATTAATTGTTAATTTCAGAAAATGTTGTAATACATACAAATGTTCTAATACATGCATTTTGAATAACTAGATAGGTTTCAGACTTTGAAAATGGAATGAATGTTAACTAGAGTAGTGCTCTTTTGATAAGTTTTATGAATGAAACATACAAATACTGTACTCTAAATTGTGTACTTGAGGCTTGAGCTGACATGATTTGCTAGGCTTGGAGCCTGAAAGTACTGAAATTCAAAGACCTCGTTCAGGAACAGTGACTGCAATCCTAATACGCAGTTATGCAAAAGACTTGTAACTTTTGGAAGCGAATTGGGGAAAGTTAACAAATTTACATAGGCAATACCAGTCACATGCCGAGTCATCTGATATAGTGTGTAACAAAATGCCTGTGGAGACTTCACTTTTTCCACTTTGCTTCCTAAAGTTACATCTTTTGCATAACTGCACAACAGGATTTTAGTTACTCCTGAAATGTTGTTCAGCGTTATGTGAAAGACTTTTTCATCCTTGTTTTCTTTTCCCTATAGTGTGGCTGTGAGAAGGACCTTGGAAACACCCATTTCATTTTCAGCTAGCTTCAATTGATTGTGTTTAAATTTAGAGAAGCAGTGTTTAGTTTAATTTCTTCTTTGTCCAGGAAAGCTACAGTAAACAACAGTTTGAAGTTGGCTTGTTTTAGCCAACTTGTAGATAGATTTTATTTTAACTTTTCCCATTTCAGATAGAATGCTGAAGTGTTACATTAAAACAAAAATAAATGCTTCAGATCACCTCTTTAAGAAGTAGAGAGCAGAATCATTTATGCATCACTAAGCTGTGGTAGACTTTTTCATATAGTAGAAAATATTTAATGTAGGTTTTGCCACATTAAATATATATTGTATTACAACTGTCATTCTGAGGTAGCATAGTATGTTGTCTGCATATGGTGGGATTGTTGCTCCATGCATTTAGATTGGAGAAGACTGATTTAATGTTATATTTAGATGCAGTCATTAAGTTTTCTAATTGTAGCTTTGTTGTATTTGTGTGAGGGAGCACATGGCACTGCAAGTGGGTTCATGGGTAGATGAATATGGAAGTATGCTTCTTTCATAAATCACAACAATGAAAGAAATGGTGTATCTCTTTCAAAATGTGCAACTTATATAGAGAAGTATGGTTGTCCTTTCTTCCTCTTCTGGTAGAGTATTTGCATCTTCGGCAGATGGTATAAAAGGCACAAGTTGAAGTTGCCATTTGTTTTCTCATGGAGATAGAGAAAGTTAAATCTGTTGAATTTCTACTCTAATAACAGGGCAAAGCCTCTGTTAGGAAAAGGTGGACAGCAGTAATCAGTAATTACTTAGGTTTTTCAACTTCATTCTTCAGCTCAGGATTTCAAGGCAGAAACTACCTGTAATTTTTAGGCTTGAAACATATACAGTGGTGCCTCGCTTTACGATTGCCCCGTTTAACGACGAAACCGCATTACAACGAAGTTTTTGCAATCACTTTTGCGATCGCAAAATGGTGTTTCCTATGGGGGGATTTCGCTTTGCGACGATCGGTTCCCTGCTTCGGGAACTGATTCTTCGTTAATCGATGATTTTCCGACAGCTGATTGGCGGTTTCAAAATGGCCACCGGGTAAACAAAATGGGCCCCCGCTGTTTTCTGGGACTGATTCCTCGCTGCACAGGCAGCGAAAATGGCCACCCTATGGAGGATCTTCACTGGACGGTGAATTTCAAGCCCTTTGGAATGTATTAAATGGGTTTTAATGCGTTTCAGTGGGCTTTTTCTTTTCGCATTACGACATTTTCGTTCTACAATGATTTCGCTGGAATGAATTAACGTCGTAATGCGAAGCACTACTGTAGAGGCTGAAATCCTATTGCTTAGCATGGCCAGTCACACAAGAGTGGACCTATTG